AAAGAGATGATTTTTCATTTCCAATCGTTAATTATCCATTTTTAGATGGTGACGTTCCCTTGTCACCATCTTATGGTGTTTATATATCTCAACCTGTACGATTCGCTCGTGTATGTAACAACGTATTAGATTTTAGCGAGAGAAATTTATGTATTACTGAAAAATTATTACACCAGGGTTTTCCATATCATAAACTAGTCAAAACATTTACTAAATTTTATCATCGGTATAAGGACATCATTCGTAAATATAACTCAACACGCAGACATCTTATACATTCGGGTATTTCACATCCAATCTTTTATGGTAATATTCTTTACAAAGCACAAAAAATGTCAGTATTCACCTCAAAAGCTAACAAAACCTTTAAACAGACTTATAAAGAAGGGATATAGTTACGATACTGTTGTCAGGTCATTAAAGATTGCATAATGGACGTCATACTAAACTCCAAATTATACACAAGAAACTAAAATTAATAAAATGCTCCGCAGGTCGCAGCTTGATACGACCGCAGAGGTCGAACCCTGAACAGTTGTGGCAAGTATGGACACAACATTCAAGCTTGATACAGCTCTGAATTTGGATTGTGATTAAATATTTGACACAGCATAGGTTTCTGACACAGAATGAATGTGTTCTAAGAACTTAAAAATTTTAAATTGGACATTCACCTATTATGGTCCAATATCCAAAATCTAAATACATGGTTAGATTCAGCATATCAAAGAACCCCAAGAATTCAATTTTTGATGAAATCAAACAAAGTTTTATTTTAGACCCTTTTGACCTCAATGTGGACAAAGTTGATAACGGGGACCAAAAATCAAAAATCTAAATACATGGTTAGATTCAGCATATCAAAGAACCCCATATATTCATTTTTTGTTGAAATCAAACAAAGTTTAATTTTGGACCCCGATTTGGACCAACTTGAAAACTGGGCCCATAATCAAAAATCTAAATACATGTTTAGATTCAGCATATCAAAGAACCCTAAAAATTCAATTTTTGTTAAAATCAAACTAAGTTTAATTTTGGACCCTTTGGACCTCAATGTGGACCAATTTAAAAACGGGGCCCAAAATCCAAAAACTTAATACACGGTTCGATTCAGCATATTAAAGAACCCCAAGAATTCAAGAATAAAACCCCATTGAAATTAATCAAGAAATAAGCAATTTATACGAAGTATCTTCTTTTGCACAATACTGTGCAATTGAATATTTCTTGCTATTGCGCAATACTGTACAATTAACAATTTCTTGCTATTGCGCAATATTGTGCTATTGAATATTTCTTGCTATTGCGCAATACTGTGCAATTGAAGATTTCTTGCTATTGCGCAATACTGTGCAATGGAAGATTTCTTGCTATTCTGCAATACTGTGCAATTGAAAATTTCTTGCTATTGCACAATACTTATTATATAATAATTTACACATCCTGTTTGGTGTGTATCTCCTACCATATCATTATTATTTGCTTTTAAATATAAATCAGAAATAACCAACTTAAAATGGAAAATTTTAAAAGAAAAAAAAAAGGAAAAAAAGAAAAAAAAATAAAAAAAAAAAATCCCCCCCCCCCAAACTTTTTGAACCCCCTTATGATTCATCACCCCCAAACTTAATCCCAGCCTTCCCTTTGTGGTATGGTACCTTGCAGTACAATTTCAGCGATATCCATACACTTGAACACAAGTTATTGTCTGGAAACTAGAAAAATGCTTGCTTTTTGGCCCAAAATTCCTAAACCTTTAGGGCAATTACCCCCAAACTCAAACCCAGCTTTCCCTTTGTGATATGGAACCTTGCAGTACAATTTCATAAAGATCCATACACTTACACACAAGTTATTGTCCTGAAACTAGAAAAATGCTTGTTTTTGTCGAGCCTTCGACTTTTGTCGAAAAAGCGAGACATAGCGATCCTACATTCCGTCGGCGTCGTCGTCGTCGTCGGCGGCGTCCACAAATATTCACTCTGTGGTTAAAGTTTTTGAAATTTTAATAACTTTCTTAAACTATCCTGGATTTCTACCAAACTTGGACAGAAGCTTGTTTATGATCATAAGATTATATTCAAAAGTAAATTTTGTAAAAAAAAAATTCCATTTTTTCCGTATTTTACTTATAAGTGGACTTAGTTTTTCTGCCAGTTAACATTACATTCACTCTGTGGTTAAAGTTTTTAAAATTTCAATAACTTTCTTAAACTATCCTAGATTTCTACCAAACTTGGAAAGAAGCTTGTTTATGATCATAAGATAGTATCCAGAAGTAAATTTTGTAAAAAAAAAATTCCATTTTTCCGTATTTTATTTATAAATGGACTTAGTTTTTCTGCCAGGAAACATTACATTCACTCTGTGGTTAAAGTTTTTGAAATTTCAATAACTTTCTTAAACTATCCTGGATTTATACCAAACTTGGAAAGAAGCTTGTTTATGATCATAAGATAGTATCTAGAAGGAAATTTTGATAAAATTTTGTTCCATTTTTTCTGTATTTTACTTATAAATGGACTTAGTTTTTCTTCCAGTCAACATTACATACATTCTGCAGTTTAAGTTTTTAAAACATTTATTAGATTCATAATTTATCCTGGATTTTTACCAAACTTGGACAGAAGCTACTTACAATCAAAACATAGTATAGAGGGGAATATTTTTATTAATTTTTTTCTTCATTTTTGTTGAGCCTGCGATTAACACCAAAAGTAGGCGAGACACTGGGTTCCGCGGAACCCTTACGAATTTTTTTGCCCCTTTATGACCCCTAATTCCTAAAATTTTGAGGGAATTACCCCCAACATCAATCCCAGCCTTCCCTTTGTGGTATGGTACCTTGCAGTACAATTTCAGAGAGATCTATACACTTGAACACAAGTTATTGTCTGGAAACTAGAAAAATGCTTATTTTTGGCCCCTTTTTGGCCCCTAATTCCTAAACGTTTTGGGCAATTACCACCAAACTCAATTCCAGCTTTCCCTTTGTGATATGGAACCTTGTAGTACAATTTCATAAAGATCCATACACTTACACACAAGTTATTGTCATGAAACTAGAAAAATGCTTGTTTTTTGCCCCTTTTTGGCCCCTCATTCCTAAAATTTGGAGTGAATTACCCCAAAAATCAATCCTAGCATTCTCTTTGTGATATGGAACCTTGTGGTACAATGTCAGAGAGATCCATACACTTACACACAAGTTATTGTCATGAAACTAGAAAAATGCTTGTTTTTTGCCCCTTTTTGGCCCCTCATTCCTGAAATTTGAAGGCAATTACCCCCAAAATCAATCCCAGCATTCCCTTTGAGATATGGAACCTTGTGGTACAATGTCAGAGAGATCCATACACTAACACACAAGTTATGTCTGGAAGTTACAAAAATGCTTATTTTTGGCCCCTAATTCCTTAACTGTTGGTACCATAACCCCCAAAATCAATCCCCACCTTCCTTTTCTGGTATTGAACCTTATGGTAAAATATCATAGAGATCCATTTACTTAAACTAAAGTTAGAGTGCGAAAACCAATGTGTCTTCGGACGACGACGACGACAACGCCAACGTCATACCAATATACGACCGCAAAATTTTTTTGTGGTCGTATAATTAGTGAAGAAAAAAAAGGCAATATATCCTATAAGGAGTCTAACAATTTGGCTTTGTTGCATTACTTGTAGATTCACAAAATGTATTATTTTGCTGATCTTTTTGCTTTTCAAAGTTTCACTCCAACTGCTATAGTTTTTGACAAAAATGCCATAGGTACAATTCATCACTCAGGGAAAAAAAACTCCTTTAAGGAGTCAATTGACAATTTTGGCTACATAACTTATCTGTTATCTCATTTTTCTAAACATTCATGCTATTGACAGTTCCTCTCTATCTATTACTGTTTCAGCAAAATACCCATAAATGGGTAAAAACCAGCTTTCAATTATTTTCACTATTTATGCACTCTTATAAATGTATTTTTAAGTAGTTGTAGGTCACATGCTATTTCAGATCTTAGATGTGGAGCTTAATGTAAGTCAATGAAAAGTCAGTGTGTCTTACTATTAAAGGCGAGCATTTATACTTCCGTAGACAATCATTACTGACAGCTATGAATATAGGTCACTTTGTAGTCTGAAGAACATAACTCAATATGTCAATCTAAGTATAAGTGTAAGCTGTAAAATACAGTAACCAACTATTCACGGGATGCTTTTATACTCTCCTAGATGAATTATTATATCTTGTTATATGATAGAAGGTAGCTTAGTGTATGAGAACCAAAATTGCAAGTTAAGCTACAAATAAGCTAATAATAAGTATGGAAACTTAAACAAAAGCATCTGAGTATGTGACCTTTATTTAAGCACATGAAAATGTGCAAGTTTTTTCATGGAAGACTCTATACAATTCTCCAAATAAAATGAGCAGAAATGGCAGTCTTGGTTTGAGAAACTCAAAAACTTAATCTGACCCAAATATAAATTTGAGAGAATTCCAAATTGTCAAGGCTGTTTCCATTTTGTTTTCGATCATCTTCTCAAAGTAGAATCCTCCCTATCTTTATCTAAATTCTAGGATTCTAAAGATTACCTTAGGGAAACAAGAACTGCACATATACAATTCTTTCCTTCTTTCCTTGGACTTTTGCAAAATCTAAAATCACTCTTCTTGAATATACATGAAAAATTTCTACTGGATGTTAAGCAATTAATCAATCACTTTGGTCCACTAAAAGTCATTTACATACTGGTCCTTTGGTCTCTGATGGGTAGTTGTCTCATTGGCAATCATACCACATCTCTTTTTTTAATATTAACACCATAATGAAATAATATTTTAATCAGAGAATTTTGAATGTTCAAGACGGACAAAAGGGTCAAACTGGTTCTAAGTCTAACCTTTGTCCAGATGTTTTCCTTTTTTGTCTAAAATAGAGAAGCAGATGAAGGGGTACAATTCACAATTTATACCAATCCCAGATTTAGAAAACTTACCTGTCTTTGCATGCCTGGCTGTACCTGCTGATTGAAACCCATTTGCTACAAAGAAATAAGAACAAATGATACTATAATGCAAACAGGGACTTAACGTTACTGTATATATGTCAATGTCAATGTTGGTTGCTAATAGCTTGTTTACAGATCTGACATATTTTTCCCATATTTGGAAAAAACACTTTTTAAATTGGAATCTCTGCAAATGACCTCTATATACATTGAAGTAGCTTTGCTCTAATCTAAAGTCCAATGCCAGTCACTTAGAAAAGCAGTAAAGTTAAATTTGGTAGGCATCTCACATATGCAACCATACAATTTTGGTAGGCTTTTTAGCAAAAAGAATTTTCACACAATCCTTATTTCATCATATCTTTCATAGGCTCCAGTATAATGTGAATCTCATGCCTGCAACCATATTGGTTGGTTGTCTCCTGAGGTAAAAAACTAATGGTTTTTGGTCAAAATAGAACTCTTTTTTTTTATAAGGTCACTTTGTCATCACTAGCAACACAAGTAACCAGCCAAGTTTCATCTCATCTTCTTCAGTAGAACTTAAAGAATGAGACAGACCTACAACGGCTGGCTCAAAATATCTGCTCTTCACTACAAGTAAACTTTTGCTATAGAAACATGTCTCGCCTGTTGGCATAAAATTCAGAAAAAGACAATCTGACGGACAGCAACAATTTACATTGCTTATTAATTCAAAGTCCTTGGACCATGATCCAACATGACAAACTGAGATGTACAGACAGTAATGTAACTTTATAGAAAATATCATTATCTATTGTAAGTAGTTCCTATCAATCTAACTTAAGAAGGAAACTTAACATTGAAAATTTCTAATAAATTCAAAGTCACTGGACCATGTCCTAGGGGGCAGAGCATCAAAAAAGTCGTCAAACTGATATGTACTGATAGTAGTGCAACTTGATACAAAATATAATTGATCTATATAGATCACAAGTAGTTCTTATCAAACTGAAAACTAGAAAACTTAACAATGAAAATTGCTAATTAATTCAAAGTCACTGGATTATGACCTAAGGGACAGGGCCTCAAAATAGTGGTCAAACTGATATAAACTGATAGTAATGCAGCTTTATATAAAATATCAATGATCTTTCACAACTAGTTCCTATCAAACTAACTTAAGAAGAAAACTTAACATTGAAAATTGCTAACTAATTCAAAGTCACTGGACCATGTCCTAGGGAGCAGGGCCTCCAAATTGTTGTCAAACTGATATGTACTGATAGTTATTCAACTTTATACAAAATATCATTGATCTGTCACAAGGAGATCCTATCAAACTTACTTAAGCAGAAAATTTAATATTGAAAATTGCTAATTAATTGAAAGTCACTGGACCATGACCTAGTGGACAGGGCCTCAAAGTAGTCATCAAACTGATATGTACTGATAGTAATGCAACTTTATATTATATATCAATGATCTATCACAAGTAGTTCCTATCAAACTAACTTAAGCAGAAAACTTAACAATTGTTGACGCTGTCGCCTATGTCTTGCTTTCTGCAACTTTCTTCGGAGGCGAGACAAAAATTGCTAATACCCATAGAGATTAGGTAAGACTGAAATGTTGCAATATTGAGGTCCTGTTATAACAGAATAGAAACAGGAAAAACTGGTATCATTTGTACTTTAGTACATGCCTAAAAGGAAAGGTAACATCAAATATGCACAGGCCATTAGTTTTCTCGTTTGAATTTTTTCACATTTGTCATTTCAGGGCCTTTTATAGCTGACTATGCAGTATGGGTTTTACTCATTGTTGAAGGCTGTACGGTGACCTATAGTTGTTAATTTCTGTGTCATTTGGTCTCTTGTGGAGAGTTGTCTCATTGGCAATCATACCACATCTTCTTCTTTTTATATACAGACATTACAAGTAGTTTCTCTGATACCCAATTTTTTTATTACCTTGAACAGATCTTTACTTTAAAAAATTCGTAAGGGTTCTGCGGAACCAAGTGTCTCGCCTACTTTTGCTGTTAGTCTCAGGCTCAACAAAAATGGGGAAAAAATTATTCAAACTTTTCCTCTACATACTATCTTTTGATTGTAAGAAGTTCTGTTCAAGTTTGGTAAAAATCCAAGAAGTTTTATGCTAATAAATGTTTTAAAACTTTAACTGCAGACTGTACGTACCGGTAATGTTAACCGGAAGAAAAAAACTAAGTCCATTTATAAGTAATATACGGAAAAACAGGAAATAAATTTTTGTAAAATGTTTACAAAATTTCCTTCTAGATACTAGCTTTTGATCATAAACAAGCTTCTGTCCAAGTTTGGTACAAATCCAGGTTAGTTTAAGAAAGTTATTAAAATTTGAAAAACTTTAACCACAGAGTGAATGTTATGTTAACTGGCAGAAAAACTAAGTCCATATATGAGTAAAATACGGATAAACAGGATTTTTTTTTACAAAATTTTCTTCTGGATACTATCTTATGATTATAAACAAGCTTCTGTCCAAGTTTGGTACAAATCTAGGATAGTTTTAGAAAGTTATTAAAATTTGAAAAGCTTTAACCACAGAGTGAATGTAATGTTAACTGGCAGAAAAACTAAGTCCATTTATGAGTAAAATAAGGATAAACAGGATTTTTTTTTTTTTACCAAATTTATTTCTGGATACTATCTTATGATCATAAACAAGCTTCTGTCCAAGTTTGGTTGAAATGCAGGATAGTTTAAGAAAGTTATTAAAATTTCAAAAAATTTAACCACTGAGTGAATATTTGTGGACCCCGCCGCCGACGGAATGTAGGATCGCTATGTCTCGCTTGTGCGACAAAAGTTGCAGGCTCGACAAAAAACAATGGTATCAGTGTTTGCATTGAATTTATCACTTACTAAGTAATACCACAAACAGAAAGGGTGTATATATTCATGATGTTCTGTGCTTTCATTTTAACAGTGAAACCTGTCTATAATGAACCAAAGGACCAAAGATTTTGATGATGTTTGGTTTAAAATGGCTAAAATACTGACATAAGAGCTACTTATGAACTTAATAGTTACTTATGAACATAATAGTTACTTATGAAAAGGTCATAATTGTGATATATAAAGCACCTACGGGACAGTTATGTATTGACAGAAACGTGGATAATGCTTAATGAGTTTGAAACAATACTTCTCAAGACAGTTAAATTTCAAATTTAAAACACAAGCCTTGCCGAGAGCTATTAATATTTTTAATTTAACCATTCAGAGTGGAGAAATATTGTACTATAAGAATTACTGTGGTGGAATCCTGTTTCTTAAATGACTTTGAGACATATGTTGGTAAATTTTTATCTTTTGTTTTCTTTGATCTACAAAAAGATGATGGTCTGTATGACATCATCAGGCATAGTTGCCTTTTTTAGTGATGTCACAAAAGCAAAATCAAAGGAATGCAAGAAAACTAATGTTATAAATGAATTTATACCAATGAAGATTTGAAATTAAGGCAACAAAATATTGATTATAAAAAAATAATCAATCGTTCTGGCGAAGTATAAATCGGCTAGGAATTAAAGAAAAGTATTAAAACACATGAAGGATTTATAGATAATGATTGTTATCAGTTTGCAATTGCATTATTTCCATAACAAAGTTTCAAAATGTGTACTTTTCTACATGCAATGTTATGTATTAATAAAGAGCTGCGCCATGAGCGCATGATATGCCCGTCGCTTTTTCAACGAATAAAGTTTCATAACTCCTCAATGTCATATCAGAATTTTATAAAAAACTAAATGGAGCTTATTTTAATAGATATATAAACCAGTCATCAAAGTTTCATGAAAACTGCTAAAAGCATTTTGAGTTATTGTCCAAAAACTGGAAAATTCCCCCTTTTTTATTAATAAAATCACACAACTCGGAAACGTAAAATCTAAAATTTAAAAAAAAAAAAAAAAGGAGCTTACGTCAATAGGTATAAACAGTTCACCAAAGTTTCATGAAAATTGTTTAAAGTGTTTTTTTTCCGACATGTTGACGACAGACGGACAACGGTATACTATAATACGTCCTGTAAACATACAATAAACGCGCGTGTAAAAATGCAGTTTCCAATATTACATCTAAAGAAACAGTAAGTAACTGCAAAATATATTGTGTTTTCAAGCTCATCTTTTTCAATTGTGAAAAATAAAGAAATGAAAATTAACAACTACAAAAATTTAAATCAAGTTTGATAGGTTACCAGCAATAAAATGTGAGTGTGCTTTCCAGTTTTCATGTACAGGGTGTGCAATCAAACTAAATATACAAGTGCAATCAAACTAAATGGACAAGTGCATTCGAGGCATAAAAGAAACAATAACTTATGTAGGTCAATGTGAACAGAGTTGTAACAAAGAAAAGAGCTTACAGAAGCAGCTGGTAGGACCTGAGATACCTGTTGTGGTACATGCTGCTGAGCTGAGGTTACAATGAAAGCATCCTGTCTCTACAATGTAAAATATAATGTCAGCCCAAAAACTATTGTGTTAAAAGTTCTATGTCGTTCAACAATACTATAATGCTGGGTTCTTGAAAGGATCTAACAAGGCGGAAATGTCATGTTTGACAAAATATATCTAAATTATATCTTTCTTTTTTGCCAGTGATGAGAATGAGTACATGAACAAAACTAATGTGCAAAGTGTGCAGTGTGAGTTGTTCTGAACCACTCGTGTAAAAACTACAAACTTTAGTGGCTTCAGCTTTATCTTAATAGTGAAATACAAAATTTACCAGTTAAATCATCTGTATGACAGACATCAAATATGCAGCTTATATTGATGCAGCTGAACAGGATGGTAAAACATTACAATTTCTATTAAAATGATACTTTTTTACTTTTAAATCAGACTTATTAAGTTTTGAAAGAGTCTATATCAGTCACTGGGCATAAGGATATTCCCTGAAAAATGTTCTGACACTTAAATTTTTTAAAACTCCTTCTAATCTTCCTGTCCAAATTTACGATCATTGTAGTGAGAGAAAACATTGAAAGTTGAACAATACATAAAAAAGATAACAGGAATGATTAAATTATTGTTTCCCTGAATTGATTATTTCTATCAATTAGTCACATTAGATAACTGGTTAATTAATAAACTGTTGCCACAGAGATATGTCTCTCCAGCATGTAATTTTGGTGGTAAAGTGCAAATATTGAAATCAAAATAGCAATACATGTTTTACGTGTAAACTTTCCGAATTATTCAAAGGCAATAAACCATTTGAAAGTGTAAGGTTAAATAATTTCCATGGAAATTAGAAATGCTATTGCTAATACAACTGCATACCAAATACCATTAACTTATTATAAGTTGTTCCTTTTAATCTAGACCTGCACATAAACCTAAAAATGTAAACTACTGGTATGCAAAAGTTTCAAAGCCAAATAATTTTAATGAATATGAGATCTGCAAATGCTAATATAACTTTGTACCAAATATCTTTTGAATTACCATTAGTAATGTTCTCAATAATTTGACATAATCACAAACTAATACATTGTTGATGCTGACAATGCTGCAACCCGTGGCAAGACTAATATTGAAAAAGGACCATCTAAGGACAACATCATCAAAGATAGTCAAAATTAGCCAACATATTTCCTACAACATTTTCAAACAATGTTTTTCTTGGCTAATGTCATGCCTTATTTTATAAATCAGTGAAAATCAGCTGCACAATTTTTTATACTATATTTATTGTTACAATTCAAACTTCTGCATCAATTTACACAAAGACAGTAGAAACTTTTCTATTCTCAGCTATGAAAATAATGATAGAAGTCAATTTTTGAGTGCATTTAGGGTTGTCACATATTGTTAATGGTATCACAAATACTCCATTTCCCATAAGTTTGGTAGTTCCTTTCACATGGGTTTTCCTTTAATTTGAATATTTTTGGTAGAATATGTTTGATAGCAGTTCTCGATGATAATTCCTTAAAGAAGTCAAAGTTGTGAAATTTCCCTAAAAATTATCAATCATTTAGCCCTTTTGGAATTCTTTAGATTTTATTTCTATTTCTAGTAACAATGGTGCTATTACAGTGGACATGTTTTATTGCAGCATTAGTTGTCAGAAACAATTTATATTAAGCAGATCTTCAGTCTAATATTTCACCTCTGAGAGCAATTGACCCTCTGATTTTTAAGATTTTCAAACAATTTTCTAGATTTTTGATTCTGATCATAAACAATAATTTCAAAAGGAGATCTCACAGTTGTATCATTTATCACAAGTATTGCAACAATGCTGTTTTTATGATATTTGTTGATAGTGTAGATCATGTCATTATCATTTTCTATTTTCAAATGTAGCAGTCATTTCCTTGATTGGTTTGGAAATAAATCAGCACAATTCAATGCATGTTTGGTCCTAATCAAGCTTGTGGTTTCAGACAAGAAGACTTTCTATTATATTAAAGGTGTATGTTCTATTATCTACAATTAGACTCCACAACTTTCTCATTTTTATACCAATTTTCAAGACCCATCAGGGGATCAAACCTACACCCAATCGTTTAGTTATTACCGCTTTGTGGTTTTGTGATAGAGGTCTAGGGTTTGATCCCCTGACGAGTCAAACCAAAAACTTGAAATTTGGGTTTTGCTGCTCTGCTTCTCCGCTAAGCACACTGCATTTAGGATTAAGAGTAAAGACTGTTTGGCTTGGAGTCAGAATAATGTGTCCCCGGGGTTCTTTTCACCAAAAATCATACGATAAAAAATTATCTTAAGTTAGGCGAGGGTTTTTTACTTTGTTGTTTACAGATCCGCCAACCCTATTTTTCCAATATTCAGAAGAAGAAAAATATTGACATTTCATGCTTTTTTATTCCCTCCGTCCCTAACAAATACATTATGCCTGAAATAAAAATAAAAATTTCTGCCTAGCAGCATTTTAATGAAATTAAATGCATTATTTTAGCATGTTAAACATTAATAGAAATGATGACACATATTTTGTTCAAAAAAATTAAAATCTAAAAATAATCCGTAGTTTGTGTTTCTAAAAATAGACCTTAAATGTTGTTTGGGCAAATAATTTTGTCGAACGAAACCTATGTTAAAAACCCATTACAAAACGTTCGTTTTCCTTTTTTGTCATAATTCTGTATGATTTTTCATCTCATAAATGAAATTGACCTGTCCAAACGTGAAAGACAACAACTTAAAAGTAAGAGATATCCACAAACAATTTAGAATTTTCTTTTCCATAGATTTAAAAAAAAATTTCATCCATTTGGATATAAACAAGCATTCTGTGAGTATTGCATGGCAATACATAGTCCCCTACCAGACTGGAACAAAATTCCAACTTGATCTGTAACTTGTCATGATGAATGACAAACAAACCTACCGGTACCACTAAATTCTTCAAACAATCTACCAAAGAAAAGGAAAAAAATCCAAAATGTCATTTTGTCTTTTAAAAGTCTTTTAAAAAATGAGTTATTTCCCTTTGAACAGAAATCTACTAATTAATAAGTATTTCATCAAAAATTTAATTCTAGGGAAAGGGCTTTAACTGAACAAAGAGAAAGGCTAAAATCGTGAAAATTAAACTTGACCTATAACTTGTCATGATAAATCAATAAACCAAATATCAAATCAATATCTTCAAGTACGAAGAAAAAAAGTCTGGAAAACTGATTTGCCAGACAGACAGATGGACAGACAGACAGACGGACGGAGTGCAAACCTAAAGTCCCCTTCGACTTCGTCGGTAGGGGACTAAAAATGGGATTGCCTGAGAAAGCATGAAACCCATATCCTCGTCTTTCCAGTGGACAAGTCTACCTTGTTTTTGACACAGATGGTAAAGAGTTATTTTAGTGTGATGTCTGAAATTTTTATTTCACATGTTTTTGTGCTTGAAGCATATTATTCACCATGTTTCCTGAAACTTGATAAAAAGCAACGTGTAGCTGTTTTTTCTCGTTTTTAAAATAACCATTAACTTTCCTGTTTGTCCTTGGACATACCCTTCTTTTTACAAAATTATATGATGATGGCATGCATTGTATGTTTAAAACAGCTGAGCAATAACATTTAAAACTAAAATTTAAGAAATGAAGACAAAATAGTGTACCAAATATATTATCAGTAGGCTGAAATATATATTCATTATATACATATTTATGTCTGTAAGATGTTTTTTTTCTTAATTTTTCCTTATTTTTTTTCGGCTGACCGACCCAACGTTTTCATATGAAAAATCCATAAACCAACAGTTTAAAAAACCATGGCCTTATATTGAAATGTTCATGACTTTCCATGTTCATGGGAGTATTTTTTCTCCTAAGATTTTTTGTGAAATGAGTGTATTTTGACAAGTCTTCCTGTGGAGTGTTACCTTGTGAACTATCACCTTAAAAATTTGGCTCAGTGTGATGGCCTAGTACAAAGCAAGGTTTATATTCATATTATCTTGACAATTTCTTGTCTTGATATGCATGTAATGTTTGCCACTGGACATTAAACACCAATCCATCATCTCCATCATCATCTTGTTTGGCCTAACAAACATATATGACTTGATAGAATATAAGAATGTAAAGTAATTTGGTAGATGATATATTTTTTGGACAATGTGTCTAATACACAAATCCAAAAACAAATAAACTACTGATCTCAATAAATCAGTTATCCCCAAAAAATCAAAAAATGAACATCGTTTTGGCATGTAATATAATCTCTCCAATCTATAAAAGTACAAATTGCAAATATATTTGCCGATGAAAGTTTATTCCAATAAAATCTGATTGAAGAAAAACAGCTTGAAAGCAAAATATCTTGAAACTGATGGTAATAGCAATGCTTTGGTTAGTTTTTCTCTCATTACATCACAAGAAATGTCACAGTGCTATACAGAAAGATCATCAAAAACTAAGAATAACAATTTCTATCAATAGTACTGATGAAACCATTCCTTTTTTTAAAGTACATTGAAATCATGTACTCTTAACTGAACAAATGTCTCTAAGGACAATGTGGGCTAACACAATATATGCAAAACAGGTAAATATTATGTAATAAGTATGGAAAGTTTGCATGAAAATCCTTGATTTATTATCAAAGTGTTTATAAAAAAATTTAATTACAGCCTTTTCAAGTGTTTTATAAGAGAACCAATTTAAGTAGAAATGATTACATAATCTCTAGGAAGTATCTGAATTAAAAATAAATACATTGTATACCAATTGCTCAAATTTATGTAAAGAATTACATGTAAGTTTATATCATATTTTGTTCTCATAAAAAAAAGACCTAAAAGAGTCAAGACTCAGATGGCTGGGCTTCATTATATGTTCTTTACAAGTGAACAGTGGTTTATACTGTTGTTTTAAAAATAAAAAAATAAATGGGGAATGTGTCCATGGGACATCATGGACACAGATGATGCCCCTGCTTGCATATCATATATAAATTTATAAAGGGACATAACTGAAGAACGGTAAATGTGATGCTACCCAAATTTGTACTTGATCTGAGTTTTGTGGTAATAAGTATTATGTATAAGTTTCATAACATTTGGTTGAGGCAAACTTAAGTTAGAGAACAGAAACAAAAAATTCAGCAATTTTTCCATTTGTAAAGGGGCATAACTCTAGAACAGTAAAAGTGACACCACCAAAATTCAAACTTGATCTGTATTTTGTGTTAATAAGCATTGTGTATAAGATTTATAACATTTGGTTTAGGCAAACTTAAATAAGAGAACGGAAACAAAAAATTCAGCAATTTTTCCATTTGTAAAGGGGCATAACTCTAGAACAGTAAAAGTGACACCACCAAAATTCAAACTTGATCTGTATTTTGTGTTAATAAGCATTGTGTATAAGTTTCATAACATTTGGTTGAGGCAAACTTAAGTTAGAGAACGGAAATGAAAAATTCAGCAATTTTTCCATTTGTAAAGGGCATTTTTACTCTAGAACGGTTAAAGTGACACCACCAAATTCAAACGTGATCTGTATTTTGTGGTAATAAGCATTGTGTATAAGTTTCATAACATTTGGTTGAGGCAAACTAAAGTAAGGGGAGGGAAACCAACTTTGGGATGTACGTACGAACGTACCTACGGACAAGGTTAAACTTAATGCCCCCTCCGATATGGGGGGGGGGGCATAATAAACTGCTTCCCTGAGCGCAGCTGGATACGCCTGCAGAGGTCCAACCCTGAACAGTTGGGGCTAAAATGGACACAATATTCAAGCTTGATACAGGTCTGAATTTGGACTGTAATTAAATATTTGATATATTATAGGTTTCTGAATAAATGTAGTCAAAGAACTTGAAATTGGTTATATGAAAGATTTCTTGCTGTTGTGTAATACACTGTGCTGTTGCGTAATACTTAGTAAATCTGTTGTCAGACTATAAACAAATAAAATCTTATAACTCGGAAACATAAAATCGAAAATTTATAAAAATCAAAAGGGAGCTTACAAAATAGATATAAACAATTTACCAAAGTTTCATAGAAAATGCTGAAAGCATTTTTGAGTTATTGTCCGAAAACTGGAAAATCCCCCTTTTTGTAATGAATAAAACCCCATAAATCGGAAACGTATAGTCTGAAATTTATAAAAATCAAAAGGGAGCTCATGTCGATAGAAATAAACAATTCACCAAAGTTTCTTGCAAATTGGTGAAATTATTTTTGAGTTATTGTCTGAAAACTGGAAAATCCCCCCTTTTTTAATGAATAAAACCCCAAAACTCGGAAATGGTAAATCTGCAATTTATAAAAAACAAAAGGGAGCTCACGTCAATAGATATAAACAATTCACCAAAGTTTCATGCATATTGGTTAAAGCGCTTTTGAATTAATGTCCGACATGTTGACGACGGACGGACAGACGGTCAACAGTATACCATAATAAGTCCCGTAAACGGGCGTATAAAAACCAGAAAATTCCAACTTAAGGCCAATCCCTTAATACAATTTTGGCAGATGAGTGATGCTTGATATTTCTATTGTTATAACACATAATGTTTATACTAGAAGCCTTTTTTTTTTGACAATGATTTAATCAAACTTTAAATAAATGGATGCCTGTTATTACCTTTTTTACATTGTAATTTTATAAGGCATCGAGGCTTTGGATAAACCTGTGTCAAAGTCCAATACATTTTACAAAGTGATAAAGTAGCATCACAATTTTACCTAAAGTGAGGCTTTAAATGTGCCTGTGAAATAAATAACATCTTCATTTATCCAAAGAAGAGTCCTTGATTTTGCCTATAACAAACTAGCATCATAGATTACCTGAATTCCTTGGTTTTTATTAGTGTTGTCATCGGTTAATCGGTTAACCGGTTAACCATCGGAAGGACAGAATATCCAATACCAAAAACGTTAACCGGTTAACAGGACCTTTTTTCAATTCTAATAGATTTGACATAAATGTGTATTGACATCATTAATAAATGTTTAAAATGATAGTCCTGCTAAATAATTTGACATATCAATTGTCCAGTATATTGATTACTATTGGTAACCTTGAAAACACTCCAATTTTACAAAATTAATTAACACAAAGACATCTTGTCCATCAGCTTGGGGCAAGATCTAAAGTAAACATAATTAGCGTACAAATATTTAGAACTGTTGTATGCTGGTTAAATTTTATGATTTACTTCATTATTTCACTTTGATATGATATTGTGTAGACATACATGTAATAATGCCACATCCATTATCTAAGAAGTTTGTAATACATTAAACGAAATGCCGACTCAAAAATGGTAAAATGCAAATTATATGAATGGATTGATTGATTGTTGTTTGCTTTACGCCGCATTATATATGAATGGAATTAATGTACAATACAGTGTGGTATGAGTAACTGTAACTCGTTTAATCATCTCAAATTGAAACACTCCACAGAATTTCCTGAGACATCACAGAAAATGAAACAATCACCGGTTTCAGTCTTTATCAATTCATTAATTTAAAGAAGATTTTCTTCTTCTAAATCTGAAGTTATTACAAACATCATAGTAGATATGGTATAAGTGTTGGATTATTAAAAATGATACTTTACCAGAGCTGCTCAAAGCCAAGCCTTATAATGCCCAAGCATATACTTCAATTCATCTTATCATTAAACCATGCATTTGTAGAGAGTAATGAAGATCTTTAAAACATTAACTTACGGTAACTACTGGCTGGTTAATAGGTCGAAAGATTGTTCGAGTAGCCGGTTAAACAAAATTGTTCAATTTGACAACACTAGTTTTTATGTATACTTTAACTCGGAAGTGAATTTCTGAGTTGCTACTATGCAAGATACAATATAGCTGACCTAAAGTGAAATTTGAAGTTGTTAGCAAGGCCTTACAGTGATCTATAGTTGCTAACGTTTACATCATTTGGTCTCTGGTGGAAAGTTGTCTCATTGGCAATCATATCACATCTTCTTATATTTATCAAATCAAATCCTAATTTTACCTGAAGAGGAGGCCTTGGTTGTGCCTGTGCCAACGCATTGGCTCTGTTCATAATCTGTTGTTGTTGATTAAATAGTTGTTGTTGTCTTACATTCAGCTGAGCATGCTGTTGTGGAGTCATCATGGCTACAATACAAAACCAAGTTATAGAAAATCTTATACAACTGACCTTTAAGTATGCATCTCCAAATAAAAATGACTTTTTAAAAACTATCTGAGACTTAATGAATGAAATGCTGATATTTGATTCGTGACAATGATTCATTCAGTTCAATAATAGTAAGACAGTTTCCTCAATCATACAGTTTCGATGGCCACTTTACGATTCTTCAAACATCTAAGCATTTAAGTATGTGATTCTGTCTGGTTTGACAGTTTATAAGAATGTTTTGCAAGACTTGTTAATTCTGTGTAAACTTTTCTCACACATTCCTTCATTTCTCATAGGAGGTTCAATAGATTTTTACAATAAATTATCAACTGTTTAAGGTCATGGAAAAAACTGACTTCCCCTGCTGTCTGCCCTTTGAATAGTAAAATTGCTTGAGCTCATTTCAGTACAAAATCAAATTTAATTTTTGACACAAAAACATAAGTCTACCTTTTATTTGTGGCTGAATCATAGTGTGCAATAGCTCTAAAAACATATTAAAGTATTAAAATGTAAAAACGTTACAAAGCATTTCTGTAAAGTTTGTTCCACTTCTATGTAAACTTACAGATTTTGATTCTGCACTGAAAAACTTCACAATTAATGTGATAAGAAACTGTCAATTTTTGTTTCATTTATATATACACTGTTATTATGTGATTGACAGAATGACAGGACAAAAACAATACATCTCCCAACAAATAATAATAATAATAATAATAAATAATCAGATACACAAATATTTCAGGCACCTTTACATCAAATTGGACATTTGCGCTTTTTCTACAGGAAATTTGCGCTTTTGAAATAAAAAAAGAATGTGTCCATAGGACACAGATGCCCCCGCTTGTAAATATGCAAGGTCAATGTACTAATTCATACCTATTGACGTTTTGTTTTCTTTGAAACTTAATGACATTCATTTCTCTATTTTGTCATAAGAGATTGCAAACTGTTCAATAACAAACAGTAATGAGGTAACTCAAGAACAGTGTAAGTTACTCCACCCAAATTTGAGCCTGATCTGTGTTTGGTGGTAGTTAGCATTGTCTACAAGTTTCATAACATTTGGTTGAGGCAAAGTAAAGTTAGCATGCGGAAACGACAAATTCACCAATTCTTCCATTTATAAAGAGATTTAACCCAAAAATAGAGAAAGTGACACCACCAAAATTCGAACTTGATCTGTGTTTTGTAGTAATAAGCATTGAATATAAGTTTAAGAACCTTTGGTTGGGGCAAAGTAAAGTTAAGAGTGCAGAAACAGCAAATTCACCATTTTTTTCCGTTTATAAAGGGACATAGCTCAAGAACAGTGAAAGTGACCCCACCCAAATTCGAAATTTATCTGTGTTTGGTGGTAATAAACATTGTATATATGTTTCAGAACATTTGTTTTTGGCAAAGTAAAGTTGGAGTTAGTGTAGAAACGACAAATTTGCTAAATTTTCCATTTATATATATATAAAGGGACATAACTCAAGAACAGTGGAAGCAACACCACCAAAATTTGACTTCATACTGTGATTGGTGGTAATAAGCATTTTAAAAGTATAAGTTTCAGAGCATTTGGTTGAGGCAAACTAAAGTTAGAAAAAGGAAACCAATTTCAAGATGTACATAAGTACGTAAGTACGAACAGACAAGGGGTAGGTAAACTTTAATGCCTGCACCACTCCGTGGAGGCATAAAAAGCAAATTTGCACTTTTTCTACAGGACATTTGCGCTTTATTAACATAACATTTGAAAACGAAATCACTTCAAAAGGGAAGTTAAAAATAAATTCCTAATAACAACCATGACTCTTTCTTCAAATTCAACATGAACACAAGAAGAGGAGTACAGTTTCCATTTTTAACTCCATGAATCGTATAAATCTGTTTGATTAATTTATGGCAATATTTGAATATTCTAAAACACAACACAAACACTCCTAAATTTGTCGTAAATGTAGAAATAATAATTTCAATTACAGGTTAACTTTTATTGATAAAAAACACAAATGTCCCATCAATTTCATATAGGTGTATCAAAGTTTAAAGTGCAAAAGTCCATAGTTTTGGAGCACAAATGTCCTTTCGTATTACAGGTAAATAAATGGAGAATGTGTCCCCATGGACACAGATGATGCCCCCGCTTGCATACAACATTATAATGGGACATATCTCAAGAACGATAAAAGTGACACTACCCAAATTTGTACTTGATCTGAGTTTAAGGGTAATAAGTATTGTGTATAGGTTTCATAATGTTTGGTTGGGGCAAACTTAAGTTACAGAACGGAAACTAAAACTTTTGCAATTTTTCGATTTATAAAGGGGCATAACTCGAGAATGGTTAAAATGACCCCACCAAAATTCAAACTTGATCTTCATTTGTGGAAATAAGCATTGTGTATATGTTTCATAAAATTTGGTTGAGGCAAACTTAAGTTAGAGAACGGAAACTAAAAATTTTGCAATTTTTCCATTTATGAAGGGGCATAACTCTAGAACTGTTAGAGTGACGCTAACAAAATTCAATCTTGATCTGTATTTTGTGGTAATAAGCATTGTGTATAAGTTTCATAACATTTGGTTGAGGCAAACTTAAGTTAGAGAACGGAAATGAAAAATTTTGCAATTTTTCCATTTATAAAGGGGCATAACTCTAGAACAGTTAGAGTGACACTACCAAAATTCAATCTTGATCTGTGTTTTGTAGTAATAAGCATTGTGTATAAGTTTCATAACATTTGGTTGAGGCAAACTTAAGTTAGAGAACGGAAACTAAAAGTTTTGCAATTTTTCCATTTGTAAAGGGGCATGACTCTAGAACGTTTAAAGTGACGCCACCAAAATTCAAACTTGATCTGTGTTTTGTGGTTATAAGCATTGTGTATAAGTTTCATAACATTTGGTTGAGGCAAACTTAAGTTAGAGAACGGAAACTAAAAATTTTGTTATTTTTCCATTTATAAAGGGGCATAACTCTAGAACGGTTAGAGTGACACTACCAAAATTCAAGCTTAATCTGTATTTGGTGGTAATAAGTATTGTGTATAAGTTTCATAACATTTGGTTGAGGCAAACTTAAGTTAGAGAACAGAAACTAAAAATTTTGCAATTTTTTCATTTATAAAGAGGCATAACTCTAGAACGGTTAAAGTAACGCCACCAAAATTCAGACTTGATCTGTGTTTTATGGTAATTAGCATTTAGTAAAAGTTTCATAACATTTGGTTGAGGCAAACTCAAGTTAGAGAATGGAAACCAATTTTGGGACGTACAGACGTACGTACGTACGTACAGACGGACAAGGGTAAAACTTAATGCCCCCTCCGCTATGGCGGGGACATAAAAAGTGCAATCATCCTGTCCCCTTCCAGTCATACCTGGTTTCCTGAAGCCCACTGACTCGGGTGATTTTATCTTAGATTTACCTCAACCTGTAAGTTTTTTAAAATAATTGTATAAATGCCTCTGTATTATAGTGTCTTGATTGCAGGATGTCTGTCAAGGTCAAACCAATGGCTTTAAGATTAATATTTGCTACTTCTCCACCAGGCATGCAGTTTTCTGGAGTAAGAGATTAGAGTCAGGATAATGTGTGTAGGTATGGGAACATGTCTACCTATGGACTATGACATCTTGCAAACTAGCATGTTGAAATTCCTCAGCATTTTGGTCCGTCACATTAAGACCATATTGTCCAGAATTTGATGCTGGACATTAAACATGTATTAATTAATCAATAAAATCTAACAGGGTGACAGAAAACATTTATAATAATTTGGCCTGAATAACTGAACACTAATGAATGTTTTAATGATAGTTTCAATCTCAATATAAGATAAAATGTGGACATTTCATCCAAGACAACTAATGTAACAAAAGTATATTGGCTATTTTGCTGATAAAATGTATTAATTTTGTCTTAATGATGATCCAAATTGGATGTGAGGTCAATGTACTTGGTAAACTAAGCTGTCAGTGGAGACTAAATCAATACTCAACCATACTGGACAGAACTGTCAGATTAAAATCATCTCATTGTTCTTGGTAACCTTAGATTTCAGTTATGCAAGTAAATTGTTAAACATCATAATGCACTGGTAAATTTATCAAAGAGGAAATTTCTAAAACTAGAAAATATTGAAAATCGCATGATTCTTATATTATATAAGATCTGACATCAAATATAATAATTCAAACATGTAATTAAAAAAAAAACCTCTGATCTATGATATTGCAAAGTACTGGCATATATCATCTGATTTTCATAAGGGCTTTTAGATCTAAGAAACATATGGAACATCTGCTACTTATGTTAAACAAGAATGTGTCCATAGTACGGATGCCCCACTCCGCACTATCATTTTCTATGTTCAGTGGACCGTGAAATTGGGGTCAAAACTCTAATTTGGCATTAAAATTAGACAGATCATATCATAGGGAACATGTGTACTAAGTTTCAAGTTGATTGGACTTCAACTTCATCAAAAACTACCTTGACCAAAAACTTTAACCTGAAGTGGGACAGACGGGCGGACGGACGAACGGACGGACGAACAGACGGATGAACGAACGGATGCACAGACCAGAAAACATAATGCCCCTACTGCTATGGTAGGTGGGGCATAAAAATAAAGACTTATTTCAAATCCTTAGCTATCATAGTGATAGAGCTTACACTGTATAAAATTTATCTCCGTTGTTTTGTATCGTCTTTGACGAAAGTCAAACAAATTATACCCATTTGGTGTTTTAGAGCAAACTGTTGTGAGATTTTTAACATGCTAGTTTTGAATATTATAGTCCACTTTACCGTTACATTAACCATACATATAAATATGTCAGAAGATCAAACAGTCAAAAGAAGCCGTAATATAAACCATCTTCCTATATCTACATACATATAGATATATATCAGTGGATCAAACAGTCTATAGGAACTGTAACATTAACCATATATACAGATATGTCAGTGGATCAA